CTCTCTCTCTCACTCTCTCTCTCAAACTCACTTAACTTGCGCGTATCCATTGTCTAAACGCTCTGCGTCGTCTTAGTTTGTGTTTTAATGTTTGTAAATACATGTATCATTGTAACGTAGTGAATGCTTAAGTAGGAACTTTATTAAATACAAAATATGCTTACCTTGACTGATTGTCTTGCTCATGATACGGGTCAATGAAATGTCGATTTAAAGCTACACGCTTTACAGAACTATAAATACCTAAGAGGGTATTTGGTTATATAGCAGGGAAGGCAGATTCTAGTGGCCACAGAATTTGTTTTCACAAGCTATATAACTTAATTGAGCTAATTGATTTTACCTGTCTTGTAAAACGTGGTCCTTGCAATCAATAACAATTCATTTGTGGTGGATTGCGGGGATGCACATGTATGCATATGGGTAAAATTAATAAATTAACATGTAAGACCGGTCTGATCCAAATCTGTATGAATAATTATTAATTATCAATTATTAATTATGATATGCAAATTCCCCCCTGATCAGAACCGACCCAGAGTCTTTACAGAGACCACATTAAGAAAGATACAAATTAAAAGTAACAATACATCTGACAAATCTTCTAAAAGTTCCATAAGAACTTCAAGATCCTCAAGATCTTCAGTTGGTGTTGCTGCAGCACGTGCTAGAGCTAAGGCAGAGGCTGCACGAGCACGAGTTACTTTTGCAGAGAGAGAAATTGCAATTAAAGTAGACACAGCCAGATTACAAGCTAACTTGGAAGCCCTGCATCTTGAAAAAGAGGCTGCAGCTGCTAGTGCAGAAGCAGATATTTTAGAAGCAGCAGCAGAGTTTGAGGATGATGTGCTGTATGAAATGAAAAGTCACTCTTCATCTTCACAAAGCACAGAAAAACGTGTTTGTGATTATGTCAGGGACCAAGCTACATATCTCAGTGAGCAGGCTGACTTAGCCATTGATCAGTCTCACAATTGCGAATCTGAACCAGACCAAGTAACGTATCAGAACCAGTTAACCTCTCAAACTAAGCCAAATATAGTGCATGTGAACGATAACCAGTATGTCGTACTTGATGCTTATTCTTCATTTTCACCTCCAAGAGTGCCAAAACTGCAAAAGATAAAACTCCAAAGAAGTGTGAAAGAGGAGTCAAAAGAAATACCAGTCAGCAATAAATGGCAGCAACGGCCTAAGTGCAGTGGCGTATAAGGATATTTCCCACAACACCCTGAAACTTCAGGCATGATGGATCTAGTGAAATATCTTGCACGTCGTGAGCTGGTGAGCAGTGGTTTAACACGCTTTGATGATCACCCTGAAAGTTACAGAGCCTAGAGGTCCTCTTTTATCAACACAATCAAAGACTTGAGTCTTACAGCCAGTGAGGAGCTAGACTTGTTGTCAAAGTGGCTTGGTAAAGAATCTTCAGAATATGTGAGACGTCTCAGGGCAGTTCAAATTGAAAACCCAGACACAGCCTTGAAAATGGTCTGGAACAGGCTTGATGAATGTTACAGCTCACCTGAAGTAATCGAAAGTGCACTGTTTAAGAAGTTGGACAGTTTTCCCAGGATTTCAGGTAAAGACAACCTCAAACTAAGAGAGCTCGGAGATCTTTTAATGGAGCTGCTCTCAGCCAAGGAAGACAGCTATCTACCAGGTTTAGCCTACTTAGACACTGCTCGCGGCATCAGGCCCATTGTTGAAAAACTGCCATATACCTTACAAGAGAAATGGATTTCTCAAGGCTCAAAGTTTAAAGAAGAATTTGGTGTCACTTATCCTCCTTTCTCGTTCTTTACTCAGTTCATTTGCAATCATGCTAAAACACTTAACGATCCCAGCTTTGCCTTTTCCAGTAGTTGCCGACCACAGTATGAAGGACCCACTGTAAAACACACTAACTTCAAGACGCCAGTGTTGGTACACAAAACCGAAGTCTCTCATAGTGCATCTCAGGACAGAAAGCCTTCTAAAGATGATCCAGCCAAACACTGTCCCATCCACAACAAACCCCACCCTTTAAGGAAATGTCAAGGCTTCAGATTGAAAACAATCGATGAGCGAAAAGCATACCTAAAAGAGCAAGGGATCTGCTTCAGGTGCTACTCATCATCATCACACGTTGCACGCGATTGCAAAGTCATTCTAAAATGTGATGAGTGCAACAGTGACAGTCACAACTCAGCTCTGCATCCTGGTCCACCCTCATGGACATCCAAAATCCAAAGTCCTCCATTATTGCATGGCGGGGAGGATGCAAGAGAAATTCCAATAACACAAGAGGTGAGCTCCCTTTGCACTGAAGTTTGTCATGGCCTTTCCACAAAATCTTGCTCCAAAATATGTCTCGTCAATGTGTTTCCTGAAGGGCATCCTGAAAATGCAGTAAAAATGTATGCTATGCTCGATGATCAGAGCAACAGATCTCTGGCCAGGTCAAGATTTTTCGACATATTCAACATTAAGAGCAAAGCATCTCCTTACAGCCTAAAGACATGTGCTGGGTTGATTGAGTGTTCAGGAAGAAAAGCGAATGGTTATCGGATTGAAGCAGCAAAGGGTGGAATTAGTCTTGCACTTCCAACATTAATTGAATGTGACGAAATACCCAACAACCGTGATGAAATTCCAACACATGAAGCAGCTCTCCATCAACCTCACCTCAAGCATATTGCATCTGAAATCCCAGCTCTGGACCCTGAAGCCCACATCCTACTGTTGCTTGGACGAGACATACTTAGAGTTCACAAAGTGAGGAAGCAAATTAACGGCCCACGCAACACACCCTTTGGCCAAAAACTCGACTTAGGATGGGTGCTGGTTGGTGAAGTATGCCTTGGAGATGTGCACAAGCCCAGTGTTTCATGTTTCAAGACGAACATCTTAGAAAATGGAAGACCCTCACTGTTTATTCCTTGTACAAGTCACGTACACATTAAAGAAAAGATCACCAGCAACTTAACAGCTTTGCATACAGCTCATGACTTCGAAACCCACTGGAACATCAACACAGACAATCTTGGTCAGACTCTATTTAAAACATCAGAGAACGACAATAAGCCGGCACTCTCCATCGAGGATGAAGTATTTCTAAAGATTATGGAGAAAGACGTTTTCCAGGATAATTCCAACAGTTGGGTGGCACCTCTTCCCTTTAGGTCTCCACGGCCAGTTCTTTCAAACAACAGAGATCAAGCTCTAAGCCGCCTCTCTTCCTTGCGACGTACCCTAGAACGTAAGCCAGACATGAAAGAACAGTTTGTTACCTTCATGCAAAAACTATTTGACAGTGGCCATGCAGAACTTGCAGCTCCACTACCAAAGGGAAATGAATGCTGGTACTTGCCACTATTCGGAGTCTATCATCCCAAAAAACCCGATCAGATCAGGGTAGTATTCGACTCCAGCGCACGATATGAAGGTATCTCTCTCAATGATGTGCTCCTCACCGGACCAGACCTTAATAACAGCCTCATTGGTGGCCGGGGGCCCGTTTCAATAAGGAGGTTCAACCAACTCTGAGTTAAAGCTTGAACTCAGAGTTGACTTACCCTGAGATGGGAAACTCTGAGTTTTCGGTTACAGAACAGCTGAAATGAGTTAGTTCAATCAACTCTGAGTTGACTGACTCTGAGTTAAGCGCGTGCACCACAGCTATAAAAAGCCATTATCAATGGAGCGCAGATATTACGAGTCACCATGGCAACAGCGCCAGACAAAAAGAGGTGTTGGGTATAATTAATTACCAAGTAATCTAAATATTGTAATTTAATTAAAGGGATTACTCTTAATTCTTCTTTAATTTAAAATAAAATATGATGCAATTACATTAAAAAGGCTACTGCATAAACTATAGACCAATTCAGTATAAAACAATAGTGGATTTAGCATACATTTTTAAAAGGTATATTTTTATATAACCTTCTCCCTCTACACACTTTGATCAATTCAAGAATAATTCATGCAATTGTATATTGTTAATTTGAAAGCATTAAAAGTGCAGTTTCTTGTCTCTCCTCCTTGTATTAATCAAGTGGTTGAGGTTGATATAGGATTTAGTAATATGTAGACCAATACTTTCTAGAGATAGTAATTATTACATTAATCTAACTACACCGTTGAAGATGTCATTTGTTGTTAATAATTCATAACTATTTTAGAGTAACTGTTATAATATCAGAGGTGAAACTGGAAGAATGTTATAGTAGTCTACTATTACTTTGATAGATTTTTACTTAAGTAAAAGTAAAAATACCAGTCTAAAAAATCTACTCAAGTAAAAAGTAGTTAATTTAAAACATGAGTAAAAGTTGCTGAGTAACTTGTTTAACAGCGGGGGTGGGGTGGGGGACTCCCCCATGTGGGGTTGTAACGTATAAGAGTTTCACAGTATGAGAACCGTCTCAGAAAATATCACGGTTTATGGTATTAAACAATTGTTAAATATATAAACTGCATTATTAAATTACGGTTATTATTTTCATCAGTTAAAATGACAGTTAAATAAATTAAACATTTGTTCAATAAAACATAATATCAACTAACTTCAATAATTGATTATGATTGACATCTTATTTTTTATCATGAATAACTTATTAAATTTTATTACAATTTTTTCAATGATTTAATAGAAATAAATTATCCAAAACAGTGGTAATCAAATAAAAGTTTAGCAAATGTTTTAATCCTTTTATTTTTTGGCAAAGTGCTGCAAAACAGATTTAGTCAATTAAACCATGGACAAACAATATATATATATTCCTTAAAGAATGTGTAAATACATTTTAGTATTATTGTTGGTGTTTAAACAGCACTTCCTCTTTAAAAAACGGGAGGAGACCGCAAGAAACTCTGGGTTTACTGAAGAAAACCTGCTCCCGACCAGGTTAGGTTCACAGAGTAAGTTACCATGGTAACTGACTCTGAGTATAAGTTACCTCTCTTTCAGAAACGGGCTTGACTTACTCTGCTTTCTCGGGTTTGATATACCCCCCTTTCTGAAACGGAAAACCCAGAGTTTCCCTCATTTCAGGGTTAACATACTCAGAGTTTTCACTTAACCTCCTTTCTTAAACAGGCCCCTGATGCGCTTCAGGAAAGAGTGTGTAGCAGTGATGGCAGACATCCAACATATGTTTCACTGTTTTGTTGTGAGAGAAGATCATAGAGACTACCTACGCTTCCTGTGGTACCGTGATAATGACCTTAACAAGGACATTGTTGAATACAAGATGAAAGTCCACGTGTTTGGCAACAGCCCATCCCCGGCTGTTGCAATCTACTGCCTAAGACGAGCCGCAGAGAAGGGTGTGCCGCAACATGGTCAAGATGTTACCGGCCTCAGACCTAGGGGAAATCTGGGCTGGCAGCAAGGGTACACAGGCAGTGAAACACTGTGCACCTGTGAACTGTGAAATAGTAAAGAGACAGACAGGATTAGCGTCTTTCCCTTGGCGCGTCAGCTTTACTTCTGAGATTGCACAATAGTAACAACTGTAAACATTTCTTGAATTACATTCAGAAAAATAACTTTATCTGCACATAGCTGATATGTAATGACTCATACATACTTTCAGTACCTGAATACGCTCCTGTGATCCATAACCACAAAGTAATATATTTTTATATCTTACATACTATATGAATAGAAGAACAAATACAAAAATGAAACATGAAAAATTCACATAAATCTCACTTTTACACATAAGCCAAATATTCTCACACCCCAATGTGTAAAGCTTAAGTGTACCCAGTATGAAAAATACATAAATCAATAATACATCTGAAACTCGAACGCCATGTTCTATACTCCATTTCACTCTCATTACCTCATGTCACACATTTACATGACACGTGTACTCGTAAAGCACTCAAAATGGCGTTTAAATTATAGCTGCGTCACATATTCAATTTAATAATTTTAAACACAAATATAACAAATACCCTTGCATTACAAATGCAATTAAACATTACACCAATGTCATCTGTCGTGAAACACTTTTAAATGTATTTATTAACTGATTAATCTGTTTATATCTATAAACGTTGCGTTAATCAAATCTATATAAACACATTAAAACACGAAAAAGTTACTTCAAACGCTTCACAGTTACTTCCTTAAACCTTCTCGTTATCTCATGAACAGTTAGAACTACGTCTCAATTGTATTTTATTTACCTGTGAAATAGTAAAGAGACAGACAGGATTAGCGTCTTTCCCTTGGTGCGTCAGCTTTACTTCTGAGATTGCACCCGGGACAAATCTAGTCTCAATAGTCTACTTCACAGGAGCGCTCAAGCGCCCTCCGCTGGTGTGGCGGCGAACTGATTCTTAATTGTTAGTGTTCTTATTCAAAAAATGAAAGCGGGGGGGTGGCATTTTCCATTAATTATCTGGTAACATCTTTTATTACATCCGTTACAAAGACACCAGGCACTTTGTGGAACATGGATTCTATGTGGATGATGCACTAATTTCCTTGCCAACTGAAGAGGAAGCAATAGACCTACTAAAGAGAACACAAGCATCCCTCTCGGAATCAAACCTGCGACTGCACAAGTTTGTATCCAACAGTCTACAAGTACTCAAAGCATTCCCTACGGAAGATCACGCAAAGGACATCAAAGATCTCGATCTCAATGGTACAACTATGCCTACACAACGCAGCCTTGGTCTTAATTGGGAAACTGCGACTGACACATTTACATTCAAAGTATCAGTCAACGACAAACCATTCACAGGCCGTGGTGTCCTATCGGTAATCAATAGCCTCTTTGATCCTCTCGGTCTTGTGGCTCCTGTCACTATTCAGGGGAGGTTTTTACTCAGAAAGCTATCTATTGAAGGAACAGACTGGGATGAACTACTGCCACATGAGAAACTCGGTGAGTGGGAATCATGGACACATTCATTGAAAGACTTGCAACACCTTCACATTCCTCGTCCTTACACACCCAACTCTCATTCCAAGGCAAATCACAAAGAAATCTGTGTTTTCTCTGATGCGTCGACAAAAGCCATAGGAGCTGTAGCATATCTCAGGACAGTAGATGAAGATGGACAGATCAGCACTGGCTTCATCTTAGGAAAAGCAAAACTGACGCCAAAAAAACAGCCTACCATACCCCGATTAGAGCTTTGTGCAGCAGTCTTAGCAGTGGAGGTGGCAGAACTCATTGTTCAAGAGATTGACATCAAACCGGATGCTATTACCTTCTACTGCGACAGCAAGATTGTACTTGGCTACATCTATAACGAAACTAAACGTTTCTACGTCTATGTCCACAACAGGGTACAGAGAATCAGACAATTTTCAGAACCAAAGCAGTGGCGATACATACCCACAGAGCACAATCCTGCTGACATTGCTTCTAGATCAATCCATGCATCTCAGCTTGCGAAATCTAACTGGTTTACTGGTTGATGACTTCATTATGTCAGATAACTTTGCGCTTGTGGACCCAGATTCAGATGCAGAAATCAGGCCAATGGTGACAGCTTGCATCTCAGAAATGAAGGAGAAACAACTCACCTCTGACAGGTTTCAGAGATTCTCCTCTTGGAAATCCTTACAAAGAGCCATTGCATCGCTCATCCATGTAGCTTGCTCTTCTAGATCCACCAATAAATCCGATACATGCAGCGGTTGGCATCTTTGTTCAAAAGCACACAATGTAAGTGAGCTGTTAAAAGCCAAGAATGTGATAATCCGCTCTGTGCAAAAGGAATCATTCAGTAAGGAGATTGAAACACTCTCTAAGGGAGGAAACATTAGCAGCAAAGTTCCACTCTCAAAACTGAATCCTTTCCTAGGTGAGGACGGCCTACTCAGAGTCGGAGGCAGATTAAAACTGGCAGATTTAAGCTACCCAGAAAAAAACCCAGTCATATTACCTGGCAAGCATCACGTTTCCACGTTACTCATAAGGCACTACCATGAACGCGTGGAACACCAAGGCCGCATATTCACAGAAGGGGCCGTTCATGCTGCTGGATTGTGGCTTGTTGGAGGCAAGAGATGCATAAGCAGTGTTCTCCATGCATGTGTAACCTGTCGTAAACTGCGTGGTAAACTAGAGATGCAGAAAATGTCAGACTTGCCACCAGAACGACTAAGTGTGTCACCACCGTTTACTTACACTGGCTTAGATGTCTTTGGCCCTTGGACAGTGGTAGCTCGCCGCACAAGAGGAGGTCAAGCTCACAGTAAACGCTGGGCGGTGCTTTTCACCTGCATGAGCACCCGTGCAGTTCACATTGAAGTCATTATGTCTATGGACTCTTCAAGTTGTATCAATGCCCTTCGCAGGTTTTTTGCGATCCGTGGCCCTGCAAAACAACTACATTCTGACTGTGGAACTAATTTCATTGGCGCTTGCAACGAGCTTGAATTCCACAAAGTGATTAAGGAAACCAAGGTGCAAAGATGCATCAATGACGAAGGATGCACATGGGTTTTCAACCCACCACACTCCTCCCATATGGGAGGCGTATGGGAGCGTATAATTGGTCTGGCTCGTAGAATTCTTGACTCAATGCTGATGCGGGAAGGACACTCCAACCTCTCTGATGAAGTGCTTTGTACACTTATGGCAGAAGTGACGGCCATTATTAACAGTAGACCTCTAGTACCTGTTTCTATGGACGCAGACTCACCCTTGATACTTTCCCCTGCAATGCTCCTAACACAAAAGGCAGGTTCTCCACCTCCAGCAGGAAACTTCTCCGAAAAGGACATCTACAAACGCCAATGGCGGCAAGTACAGAGCCTAGCCAACCAATTCTGGTGTCGCTGGAAACAGGAATATCTGCAAACACTGCAAGTTCGTCACAAATGGCAGGATCCATACCCAAACATCCAGGAGGGCGACATAGTACTACTTAAGGACAATCAAGTAGCCCGAAATGAATGGCCTATGGCACTCGTCACAAGTGTTTTCCCTGGTCAAGATGGCAAGGTTCGAAAAGTTGAACTTAAAGTAACTAAAGGAGGGTCCAGCAAAACTTTCTTGAGGCCTATATCTGAAATCATTCTCCTGCTTAGAAAATAAGAAAAACACCTTTAAACAGATAATTATAAATGACATCTTTATAGATGTCATGCGGGGAGTGTTATGTTAATTGGACTAAGCATTTTAGGTTTTTTATTTGGGACTCTAATTTTGAAAAATTACCTGACTGAGCAGGGAGCAGCCATTTTAGTTTCAGTTTCGCTCAACTCTCTCAAGCATTAAGCTCCATGTGACTGCTGCTCCAGTTTTCTTTAATGTTTATGCCTTCGAAAGCATTGTCAGTAAGTAATCATTGTTAAATGTGTAAATTGAGAATATTTTATACATCTTCTATGCTATATTGATAATAATTAAGTGTTGTTTTATACACTAATTGCTCAACCGGTAACTCTGCTCTGTTAACCTTAATTAGGGCCTGAGCACTAACAGTGCGAGGACCCTCTTGAAACTGTTAGGGTTATTTTTTATTTTTATTTTTTTTTTATTTTTTTTTTTTTCTGCAAAGTAAGCGCCATTTTCGGGGCCTCAACATGCTCAAAAACTCACCAAATTTGGCACGCATGTCAGGACTGGTGAAAAATTTCGTATTTTGTTGGTTTCGCGGATGGGCGTGGCAAAATGGCTCCCTAGCGCCACCTAGAAAATTGGAAAAAATTAGCCCCTCGTCCACGTTCAACCTACAAACACGAAATTTGGTGGGGACATCTACCATGACCAGACGCACAAAAAAGCCTCAAGAACCCATACCCTAAACTCGACAGGAAGTCCGCCATTTTGAATTTGGCGACCGATTTGGGACGATTTACACACTCTGTACTTTAACGAACTCCTTCTAGGGATTTAGTCGGATCAACTTCAAATTTCTGCTGTACCTTCTAAAGGCATTTCATCGATGGGCGTGTCCGTGGCGTCGATGATTCGCCATGAAACAGGAAGTTGTAGTAACTTGGCTGTAAATGCTCAGATCTACATGAAATTTTACAAATTTGACAAGAGTCCCGCCCTGAACAAATCTACATGCCGACATTCAACCACAGTCATAGCGCCACCTAGTGGCAACAGGAAGTGTCTTTTAACAAAGCAGCCCCCGTCGCATGTTTGAGCGACATGTACTAAATTTCTGTGGTACATCTACCATGTCCAGACGCACAAAAAAGTGTCTTGGAGCAATGCCCTAAACTCAACAGGAAGTCGCCATTCCGAATTTTACCGCCATTTTTGGATGATTTACTCATTACGTACTTTAACGAACTCCTCCTAGGGATTTAGTCGGATCGACTGTGTTTCTGCTGTGTCTTCTAAAGGCACTGACGATGTAAAGTTGTGCTCTCTGCGTGTTTTCATCGATGGGCATGTCCGTGGCGTCGATGATTCGCAATGAAACAGGAAGTTGTAGTAACTTGGCTGTAAATGCCCAGATCTGCACCAAATTTTACACATTTGACAAGAGTCCTGCCCTGAACAAATCTACATGACGACATTCATGCACCCCCCTTTAAATTTTTGAAAAAAACTCTAAAACTTTCTAAAATTGTTAATGTAATTGTAAGTGACTGGTATGACTTTATTACATGGTGTTCAATTTGGTGAGACTCGGAGTCGCCAGCAGGGGGCACTCGGGAGTTGCGCAGTGCATGAGTGGCTGACTATTGAGTAGCGTAGAAGTAGTCCAGCACGACATAGACGTATACATTAGACCTCACCTTGGATACGGCAGTTCATTAGAACGAATGCGTCAATAGAGCCGCCATCTTGAAACAGGGGAGCCCCTCCACTTTAATGCATCAGCGTCAATGTAGTAGACACAGGTCTAACGCAAATAAAATCACCATAAATCATCATGAATGCGATTTTTCTTGTTTTTTTGGTTTGTTCCAACGGTCAGACATGTATTTAGGGCCCAAGCCCTGAAAGGGCGAAGGCCCTATTGTTTTCCTTAGGATTATTATTATTATTATTATTATTATTTATACGACTATTCGGGCACTTTTGGGGCCCTTAACATGCTCAAAAACTCTTGAAACTTTGCACACGGGTCAGAAACCGCGGCCATCAGGCCCGGGCTGAAGATGGTACCCGGGCGTGGCAGGGGGGCTAGACAGCGCCCCCTGGAACGGAGTCCGAAAACTTGGTCCATAAATCAAACATGCTTGCATGTAATAATATGAAACTCGGTGCACATATAGATCTCATCGTTCATATATACCTCATACTATTACTTTTTACCCCAGCCCAACAGGAAGTCGGTTATTTAGGGTTGTTCATAAAACACTCGCAATGGAATTTGCAATACTCCTCCTAGAGAATTCAAACACACGGCACGAAACTCGGTCAGCATGAAGTCAAGGCATTGAGGATGAAAGTTTGCGAGGGGATTTTTGATATCTCGAACGGTTTGGCCGTGGCGAGGAAACGAAATTATGGCGAGAAACGTGAAACAGGAAGTGTGTCATAACTTCAGCATACATTAACTGATCTTGATGAAACTTCAGCAGTTTGTTCGCTGTAAGAGGACGATCACATGGATGTGACTATTGTGAGTCAAAGTTATAGCGCCACCAACTGGTAGCAGGAAGTGTGTCACTTTCAAAATGCTTTGAACTCACCCTTTTATTTTGACCCGATTTGCCTCAAACTTCATCTGTATAATGTAAATACATAGCAGATGAAGACCTGTGAATGGATTCTTGATATCTTTGATACTGTTGCCGTGGCAATGCATCAAACTTTAAAATTCTTTTTTTTGATGATTTTGAGACTCTTAGCGGCTTTTAGGGCCCTTAACGGGTTTGAAAACTCTTGAAACTTTGCATACAGGTCAGATCCCACAGCCATCAGGCCCGGGCTGAAGATGGTACCTGGGCGTGGCAGGGGGGCTAGACAGCGCCCCCTGGAAGGGGGTCCAAAAACTTGGTCCATAAATCAAACACGCTTGCATGTAATAATATGAAACTCGGTACACATGTTGATGTCATCGTTTCATATATACCTCACACTCTTACTTTTACCCCAGCTAGACATGAAGTCGGTTATTTAGGGTTGTTCATAAAACACACACAATGGAATTTGCAATACTCCTCCTAGAGAATTCAAACACACGGCACGAAACTCGGTCAGCATGAAGTCAAGAAACTGAGGATGAAATTTTGCGAGGGGATTTTTGATATCTCGAACGGTTTGGCCGTGGCGAGGAAATAAAATTATGGCGAGAAACGTGAAACAGGAAGTGTGTTATAACTTCAGCACACATCAACCGATCTTGATAAAACTTCAGCAGTGTGTTCGCTGTAAGAGGACGATCACATGGATGTGACTATTGTGAGTCAAAGTTATAGCGCCACCAACTGGCAGCAGGAAGTGTGTCATTTTCAAAATGCTTTGAAATCACCCTCTAATTTTAACTCGATTTGCTTCAAACTTCATCTGTATAATGCAAATACATGGCAGATGAAGACCTGTAAATGGATTCTTGATATCTTTGAAACTGTTGCCGTGGCAACGCATCAAACTTTACCATTCTTTTAGGATGCTTTTGAGACTCTTAGCATGCTTCAAATTGCATGAAACTCGACAGACACATCACATTTATTAGCCAGTAGACATGTGCAACGTTTCAGAAACGGGTGTGGTGAGGGCTCAGTAGCGCCACCTTTTGACAAAAGTGGGGTTGTTAGTTTTATCTACAGTTACAAAAATCCGTATGTATATTGTACTCCTCGAGCCGGACAACTTTCTAATTGACACTCATTAGCTAGTACCCACAGAAAGTCAGATATGTTTGTTTGAATGTAGAGAAAATCTCAGAATTTTGCCAGTTTCTCAGTGTCTCTCTGTGTGAGTGAGAGGAGGGGCGCCTGTCAGGTTAATTTTAACCCTTTATTTGCTGTGTGCAACTTCTCTGGCATTTTCGGGGGCCTTAACATCCTCTAAAACTCTTGAAACTTTGCACACGGGTCAGAACCCATGGCCATCAGGGCCGGGCTGAAGCTGGTAACCGGGCGTGGCAGGGCGGCTCAACAGCGCCCCCTGGACTGGAATTCAAAAATTTGTCCATAAATCAAACACACTTGCATGAATTAATATTAAAACTCGGTACAATTAAAGATCACATCAGGCCAAACAACTTTCGTGCTCTAAGTTTTATGACAGTTCAAATGGAAGTTATTTATGAATTATGAATTATGGGTTGTTTGAATAATTGTCCTAGGAGAAATACATCAAATCACAATGCATGTGTTTACCAATCACAACCAAACTCGGTGTGCATGAAGTCAAGACATTGAGGATGCTCAATTCCGGACGGATTTTTGATATCTCGAACGGTCTGGCCGTGGCAAGGAAATGAATTTTATGACTAAAAAAGGACACATAAAGTGTGTTATAACTTTGCTCAATTTACCTACAGTTACAAAACTTACCACGTATATTGTTCTCGTCATGCCGATCAACTTTCCAATTCAAAGTCATTCGCTCTGAGCAACAGAAAGTCAGATATTGTAGTTTGAATGGATTTATTTCCCCTGCGATTCTCTCTCTCTCTCTCTCTCTCTCTCTCTCTCTCTCTCTCTGTGTGTGTGTGTGGGGGTGTTTGTGTCTGTGTGGGGAGGGGAGGGCTGTTGTCTGTGTTTATGTGTGTGTGTGTGTGGCTGGCTGCGATTTTTCCTACAAGTCCTTGTCTCTAAGTCCTTGTCTTTTTGCATAACAATTTTGCATAATAATATTTTTAAATGACAAAATAGGCATATAACCCCCATCTTTTAAATGTATAGTTTGCTTTAAATAAAAGTAAGATTGTATTTGTAATTGAAGTTGAATGAATTTAAAATTCATGTGCTATATTTCAATATATTTGTTTTCCTTAAGATTTTAAAACACTAACTTCATTCTTATCTGAATTACAAATATTTGTTTCTGTATAAAATAATACTCTGACTAAAAACACATTTGATGTTTTTTTTTTTGGATTTTTATTTACATGTATTTATGTGTGTGTGTGTGTGTGTGTGTGTGTGTGTGTGTGTGTGTGTGTGTGTGTGTGTAAATGCAGGGTTTTTTTAGATAAAGTAGAATTTCTATAACTATGTGTTGAACTAATAAATCACTCTTGTGTGTGTTAAACACAATCTACTTAATACAGACAACTTCATTATAAAGATAAATAACAAATCCAAAAAATATATGATTATAATCTATGACAAAAAAGCCATTACAAACTATATTAATGGAAAATACACATTGCTCTTTGTATTGTTGTAAAATATTCATGAAAAACAAGATAACAAAAATCAAAAAGATAAATTATTTTAGATATAGCCATGTTTTAAATGTATAGCAGAGATGTTAATTGAGGCAGCAACATACAAACTTTCTAGAACAACATGGACCTGAATAGCTGGTTTTTATGGAGGACAGTGAAGA